TGCAGTGTGAATGGAATACCAGCTCTGCTGAAGGGTTGCTTACTTGGCTCTGCAATCTTATACGTCCTGCATCTGCAAGCGCATCATCACCAATAAGCTTCTCCAGTGAACCTCTTCTCATCAAGGTGAAGATTCTTTTGGATCTTTGTCCCAGTCTTGGTATTTCCAAAGAGAAGTAGTAGATGATGCTTCTGAAAACCTTGGATTATGTTTGCTCCAATCTAGGAGGTAATTGATGTTTGTTTCAAAATCAGATATGATACTGGAGTGAAGGGTTCTGCTGTGTGAAATTCTCCTTCCCCTTGGCCTGAGTTCCCTGATCTAATACCATACGTTCCATGCGAGGTACGTAATTTTTCTCAGCTGCGTTTTTGAGTGTTGTTTGAAAACAGAATTTAGTTTTATCTGTCCTTTGAGTGTCAGCTGGAGATATACAAAAAAGGGTTTGTTTATATCCTCTGTTGTAGGTTGCTTACCTTGGTGGCTTTTTCCTTTTTTTTTTTTTTTTAAATATCTCTTATCTTTTCCCTCAATGCTGGAAGTGAAATAATAAATAGCTTTTGCATGGCTCATGTTCCAACACTTGTTAGCTTCTGTTTCTGACCCTCAAAGGCAGTTACATTCCTTAAAAGTTCCTTTCCTTAAAAGCTAAATTCCTTTTGGTCTTCAATCCATAATTCTGCCTATCTGCTATCTCTACTAGCCTAATCCTTAGAATCTCTACATCAGAAAAACTCCCACTGCGGTTGTAGAGGAGACTTTCTTGCACTAAGACTACTCAATTAGGCAGCGAACACTCTGTAAGCAAACATACGATGCCCCTCCCCATCATAACAAGACTCACGAAGCAAGGATCTCACTTGGATTCTCACATCTTTCTTGGCTTGTCTGCATAAAGCAGTTTTGAATTTGTAATGGTTTGGTACTGGAGATCAGAGATGCTGATTTGTGGTCTTTAGTACAAACTTAACGACAAAGTATTGTGGATTATGAGAGGACTGCTTCACTAGAATCAGCCTGTCCAGAGAACAGCTGGCTACAGCTGTAAAAATCCAGTCCTGGTGCTGAAAATAATTTGTACAGTGAGAACCCTTGCTTTATTCGCTAAAAATAGCTTCAACGGAAAAGCTAGATGGGAGTTATAAAATTTAACAACTTTATTATGAACAATTTGAGATGAGTTTATGACAGTCCAGACTTGTGGCCACCAGTGGAGTAGCACGAGGGCAAAGTTGGCCCACAGGTCCTAAAATAAGCTGACAGAGAAACAGAATGGATTCTAACCCATCACAACCCAGAGGGGATCATAACAGTCAGAGAACTGTAGAATTCCAGGTTGGAAGGGACCTCAAGGATCATCTGGTCCAACCTTTCTTGGCAAAAGCACGGTCTAGACAAGATGGCCCAGCACCCTGCCCAGCTGAATTTTAAGTGTCTGATGTTGGGGAATCTACCACTTCCCTGGGGAGATTATTCCAATGGCTGACTGTTATTGTGAAAAAAATGTCCTCTTGTGCCCAGTCGGAATTTCCTTAGGAATAACCTGTACCTATTACCCTTTGCCTTTTCCATGTGACTCCTTGTAAAAAGGGAGTCTCCATCGTCTTTGTAGCCACCCTTTAAACACTGGAATATGGTGATATTATAAATATATCCCCTAAGCCTTCTTTTCTCAAGGCTGAATCTTTTTACGGAACATTTTCACACTACTCAAAGACTCCACTGTGAACCCTACACAACGGCAGGTACTTCTTTCACTACCCTTAAGCCTATGGGCAATATTTAGCATAGAAGCAAAACGCCAAGCTTTTGAAGAGACTTTGTAGCAAAATTCAGCAGCTGTTTAGCTTGCCAGAGGTATTTTCATTGTTTTTCTCAAAATCTTTAATGAAAGCAAAGTGTGTCTTTAAAAAGGCCTTCCCTATTATAAATGACTGCTCTTCCAATTTATCTCTCTGCCCCTTGGATATTACTGTGGAGGCCTGGACCTCTATTGTTTGAACACATGCTCCTCCTGCCAGAGGGTGTCTACTGCGGGTACACTCTGTCTCTCTGTATTTTAGCAACTCTCCTCAAGTTTTAAAGTGTTTATCTTACACAGCTGAAAGTCTCCTCCTGTTTCATGAGCTCTGCACTGGAATGCAGTGGAAGAGACCCAGGGCCTGTGGCCACCCAGATTAGAGGTTTTTTGTAGTAAGGTCCCTATATGGTTTTGTTAGAGGCTTCAGCTCTGTCTCTGTCTGTCTCTGCTCCTTGTTTGGGAGGCTAGTGGGAGGAGAAGAGCTGAAGGGGCTATATAACCTCCGAGCTTTCGGATACAGAGTGCACCATCCCAGAGCAGCTATCCCCAGCCAAGCACTGTCAGGGTAAGTGGCACTGAACCAACAGCATGATTTACAGATTGCTTGGAGGACTTCAATTAAATAATGTCAGATGGAAGCCATTCAGGAGGATGTACTGCTGTGCTGTAGTTTGCTTAAGCAAACTTACATACTTATTAGAATTGAATTGATAAAATGCTTGTCATACCTATACTGAGTTGTCTCTATTTTATAGCACTTCTGAAAGGGAAATAAAAATTCTGACTGATGATTGTGCTGATTCCATCAGCACTCCAGCAATAGCATAAAGACACAGTCTGTGTAATGCCATGGCTGGAATTATAGCTATATTAATATTTAAATGAACCCGCGTGACCCTGCAGTGTGAGTTTTGTAGAGAACAGTTCCTGAAGGGGTGAATTTGCCCGCTGGCGTAGGGTTTCTCAACAGGTTTGCTTCACTGCTGTTAACTCCGTGTAAGGTGGTGTGAATGTTTTGGGGAATGTGACTGTAAGAAGAACTGAAAGTATGCAAAACAGCAGTGTCTGCTAGGATATGATGAGGATGTGTGTGCATTTGTCCTCACCTCTCTGTGTATGAAACTACTGTTCTGTAAAATGCCAAACATTAAAGAACAGGCTACACCATATTTCTCGTGGGGCTGGAGTTCTCTTAGTAGCTTGTTGTGGAGATTGGTGAAGTGATTGGTTATCTTTAGCTATAAAGGCGGTAGAATAAAGAGGCTAAATACTGTATTAATTACGTGGGAGAAAGGTTTCCTTTCTTGCACAGTGCTGAGTGACATTTGCTGCTGCGAGCCGCTGGGCTGCGTGCCGTGGCAGTCCTGAGCTGTAACTCACCGGCTGGCAGCAGAGCACCCTGTCTGAAATCATTCAGCTTTGATTTTTCAACTTTTTGTGCTTTATTACTAAATATGGTTTTCATTTAGAGTCCACTAAGCTCAGAAATGTAGCCTCTCCTGCCCCCTTCTTTCCCCTCCCCTGAGTGATTTTTGGCATTTCATTAGCTGCATGGGTTTGAGCAACCCCCCTGACCTCGAACTCTGTTCCAAAAACAGGCGGTTGGAAAGCCTGTTTCCTAATTAGGAAATAGTTTGTCCAAACCAGTCTGTTCATTCATGCTAGATAACAATTGTGCTCCATTCAGCAAATGGTTGAATATAAAGAGCTCCTTTTCCCAGGAGTTTAATAAATACAAAAATTGCAACATACTTTCTTTTCCCAATAATAATGATAAAATATCTGGAGTACATCAAGATAGGATTTCCTTATCCTTGTCTTCTGGGAACTATGCCCAAGCAGCCTGCAGGAGTGGGGCTGCAGCCGCATCTCACAGCTGCCTGGCTGGGACACCTCCACCTCTGGAGGATCTCAGACGGAGGATTTGGGGGAACTGCCCATGCTTGTTCTGCCCTATGGAGAGGCTAAACAGACTGTGGGCTCCTGTGCTCATCGGCCATCGCTCTCGCTGACCCCATTCCCACTTTGTCCTGTGCTTCCAGTATGCCCGTGGCAGAAGGTTTCGGAGACGGCGTGCAGAGCCAGCGGATGACAGCTGCCTCCTTTAGCTGTTAACACACTGCAATTTGTTGAACTCCGCATGGAAGCCCAGGCTCAGAGCTAGCCAAGTGATTCCCTACCACACTATAAATTGCGAGCAAATAGTTCTTCCTGAGTCCTGGTATTCCATGCTTGTTTCTGTAATTGACTTTAATACAAAACCTTCAAAGCATTTTTATTACTCCTATTATCTTCCTATTGCCAGAGGAGGAAAACTGTTTTTACTGAGACAAGGAGCCAGCATAAATTACTCTGCCACTCTACAAATGCAGTTTATTAGCTCTTTGGAAATGATGACAGACCATATGCTATGGCCTGTTTTTAAGACACATACTGTCCATGACTTCATTTTAAAGGCAGGATATTTTTCCTGAGTGGGAAAGGGAGGACTGGAAAAGGCTTTTTTTTCTTTTTAATTGAAAACATATCTTCTCTTTTAAAAGGTTAAATGTAAACTTATTTGGCCATCTTGACCCAGTGGGTTAGTATCTGCATCAGAAAACACCACTGGTACGTGCCTAGCATTAATGTGGTCTTTGGGAAGCCCAAGACTGGACGGGGAAGACTGAAGCGCTCTTACCTTTGACAGCTTTCCACATGTGTCAAGGTTTTGTCAGGGTGATAGAGAAGTGGGGAAGTTGTGCCGAATCCGATGCAAAGGGATCTTTGTTTTTGCAGCTGTCAGTCCAGCGTCCTCTTTTATCTCCCACCCACCCCCAGCCGTGGATTTCTGTGACCAAATTTAGATAAACATTTGCTGCTCCCTGATCTGTCTGCCCATGCCACAGGACTAGAAGTTTCCTCTGGAATTCCCTGGATAATCTCTAGTGCATACAGTCCTCTGGCAGACATGGTTGAAACCTCTCATGCTTTCAAGAGGAAGCCTGCTCTCTCATATGGCCCCACGGGCCTTGTGATTGCCAAGCCCGTGCCATACGCCTCTTTGCTGGTGCTGGTTGCTTTCATACAGCTGTCTCTGTCTTCAAGGGTGGTCTCTGTCTTCAGGGGTGCTACTTGAGTATTATTACTTTTAATTCTTTCCTGCTGTTTTCATAGGGCCGTTTGCTGTCTGGAGGGCCTGAGGACATTGACATAGAAGATGTGCGAGGAAGAGGACAGCACTGCCCTTGTTTGTGACAATGGATCCGGGCTCTGTAAAGCCGGCTTCGCTGGAGACGATGCTCCGAGAGCAGTTTTCCCTTCCATTGTGGGTCGCCCCAGGCACCAGGTGATGAGCGGCTTTGGTTATTCCATACCAGGCTTGTAGAAGGCTTTGCTGCCCCATCCCCAGCCCTCCACCCCAGAGCCCTCTTTTCCTGTGTTTGGGACTAGCCCAGCCCTGGGTGATCTGTGTAAGACAGCATTTCCAGGCAAAATGAGTCCAGCACTGCCCTCACCTGAGGCAAAGCAGGCCTCTTGCCTTGTGAGAGGAGTCCTTCTAAAATGTTTCACTCCCTTATATGCCCTCTTCTCCCTGTCCCTTAATTTTGGATTACCCAGAGAACTCGGTGAGCAAAGCTAGTTTAAAAAAACCATAAAAGGCCAACAAGAAGTAGCTGGAAATTTTGACTGCCCTAAAAGCTGATCATAGCTAATGTATGGAAAACTAAAGAAGGAAGGAGAAGTTTTCAGTCAGCTTCCTATTAACCTTCCTGACATTATGCATTCAGCTGTATCACAAATGGGCACCTGTACGTTTCTTCAGCTTCAAGGCTTACATTTCAGTATATGTTGCATTCCAGTTGATTTTAATAGTTTGCAAAATACATATATTATCTGAGCTGTTAAATATAGAGTTTCTGAGCCAGATCATCATTAGCATGAAGTAGAGCAGCTTGGCTAGGCCACCTCAAACACACCCTCCTAATTAGGAGATGCACCTGATTGCTTCTATGCCGTCTAAGGAGGTGGTGAAATGGGAAGAGGTAAAATGATTGTAAGATGCAGCATTTTGTATACCCAACAAGTATATTTTAAGCTCTTCAGGGCAGAAGAAATGTGTGCCTGATTGAGGCCTCTGGGCATTAACATAATTGAAAAAGAATATTCAAATGCCAGCATCTGTAGATAGTATGAATGGCATTAATTGCTCAAAAGCAAGCCATACAGTCACAGTGGAAACAAATGCAGCCGATTTCTAGAACCCTTCTTTCCTGGTCACGTAACATGGATAGCATCAGTGCCCTGAAGGAAGGAGCATTCCATCATAAGTTGCAAATCCAGCTTGCTTGTGTCTAAGACAGGGCAGTTAGAGATGCCACAGTTTGCAGTGTGTAATGACTACATTCTGATGAGAGTATTATGCAATCAAAGCATTCTACTATATACTATTTTTTTCCAGTATTTCTAACCTTATCATAGAGTTTACTGTATATCCAGAGTAGTTTCCAGCTTCTGGTCCATGGACAATTTCTACAGCATCCATGAAAATACCTAAAAAGAGGCCTGTATCAGTAGATTTAAATTGCCTGACTCTAATGGCAATATTATAGTGTTCAATAAGAAAATTTAAAAAATGTTGAAACTTAAGCTTTGGGAAATGTAAAGTGTGTTTTGATCTGTCTTGACCCTTAGATGGCACAACACCGTTTTCTGCTTTTGCTCCATTTTATGATATAGTTTAGCAGATAGTTCACCCCTAAATAATAATGGACATTAAAACAACCCTATTTTTCCACTTTACCTTGATGAATTTAATATTGTACTCGCATTGTTTACTTAAACTGTTGTGCAAAAAATGAACTCCAGAGGTTTAAGTTAACTAACATTTAATTTGGGAAATGAAAAAGCAATGAGTAATTCTTCATTCATTAGTATTTGTAAAGTGTTTTGTAACTAGTTTCACTGGCAACTGGATTTATTTCACAGCTAATGTTCCATCTACTTTGTGATAGCTCTCCTTGAAAGACTAACTCCATTTGTGTTATTTTATAGGGTGTGATGGTTGGTATGGGTCAAAAAGACAGCTACGTAGGTGACGAGGCTCAAAGCAAGAGAGGAATCCTGACCTTGAAGTACCCCATAGAACATGGCATCATTACAAACTGGGATGACATGGAGAAGGTATTTCAGCTTTGAAAAGTTGATGTGTATCAGTGGTAAACAGAAATACTTGAACCGAATGTTGACAGAGTACCCACTAAATTTTAGATGAAAGCATCATGCTATCAAGTATGGTTTGAGAAGAAGATTGTTAACAACAAAGGTTAACTTGCATCGAAAGCTGAAGTATCACTAGGAATACATCAAAATAGTTATTGGGAGTTCCTTTACTCCAGTATGATCCATATATCTCTGCATTAGCAAAGGAGGGGGAAGGAATAAAAAAAAAAAAAGGAAAGAAAAGAAAAGGAATATCCTCAATTTGCTAGTAAAGAACTGGAATTTAAAAGGTATCTGTTTCTGCAGAAAGGCAAAGCGCGTATGTAATTTTGAGGTGAAGGGCGCTGTTTACACACATACTTTTTAATGCTTGAAAGATGAGCAATATTGCAGTGCAATGCATCCATTTCAGAGCCAGTACTTGGATTAAGGGCTTCCAGAACCATGTTTACAGTCATAGTCCGTACGGTTGACATATTTTCTAAGATGGTATTTCTATTTAATATAGTGCTGTGGAAACAGGGCTGTTTGGAACAGCCAGGATGTCACAACACACGGCAAGTGTCTGGAGCCACATGGGATTTAGTCTCATAGCATTGTACGTTTTACTTGGAAAGAGAGAAAAACCTTTCAGATGCCTAACCTATCAGCCAGTCTCTAATCACCACCAGCTTGAAAACAAGCTTAGAATAACTTTTTGGCCTTTAGAAAGTCTCTGATGGTTTTACTTCTTATTGGTGTATTAACCTCCTCATTGCGGTACGCTTGGCCTCAGCTTTTTATAGCTGGTAGGAACGAGCCACGAGGAGGCAATAAACACGAGTTGCCTTTCAGCCTCACAAGCCATTTGCCTTCATTTCTTTTTTTGAATTCTTGAGCTGGCCTCTACAAACCAAAAGATGAAACTGTTTTCAAGAGATCCATTATCTATTGAGCTCTACTGCATAGGTTTGCATATGTTGTAGAGTTGTTCTGGAATGGTTTCACTTTCAGTCTTTATTGAAATAGTGTTGCTGGAAACAGGTCTGTCCTGCTCTGTCTTTTCTACTGTAAGAATAACATATTTATTCTCATTAACTTCTGTGTTCTTAAAAGAAGTCATATATTACTAACAGTAAAACCTGAGGATAGTGAGTTTTTTTCTCCAGTTACTTTGGTCATCTCTATGAAGGCGATAAGAACAACTGCATGAGAAACATTTCTAGCCTGTCTCTAGGGCTGTAAGCAGAGTACTGGAGCACAATACCTGAGCTGCTGGCTGACTGTTTCTTTCCTTTGGCTTCTCCCGTTGTTCTCAGATCTGGCATCACTCCTTCTATAATGAGCTCCGCGTTGCACCTGAAGAACACCCGACTCTACTGACTGAAGCACCACTGAATCCCAAAGCCAATCGAGAGAAAATGACCCAGGT